CATCTGGAATGTGGCTCAAGACTCAAGAATCATATAGGAAATTAGAGAGTCAGGAATAGAGAAGTATCTCGAGAGTCAGGAATGTGGCAAGAATTGGGAGATTCCTAACAATGGGATGTTTACTTGCCACTAGAAATTTGAGTCATTATCCAAGAAAAATTATATGAGACTTATATTACTACACAAGATCTTCCCTCAACTTCACCTTTGGAGACCATTCCTAAAAGTTTGAAGATACTAGTGGCCCTATGGGTTTATGCCAAGCTAGAGGCATTAAATAGAGTTTTTATTTATGGAGAACTAGATCATTACTATATAAAGATTTTGCTTTTGATCAATCATTTTTTGGATATGCATGACCAATGGTAGAAGCAAATAGAGGATCCTTTGATACTATTTTAGAACATCTTTATATTTGAATCAATCATGTGTTACCTAGTTAGAATGTTACTAGTAAGGACATCAAGGAACACTAAGGTTAGTACATCTATAAGAAAGAAAAGGCTAGATAATATTATGTACCTGATAGAAGAAGAATATTCAGTATTTTTAGTAGAAGTGAAATGGTTACAAGAAGTTATGTGGCATATAAGGAGTGGCAATAAAAACCTCAAAAATAGTTGCAAGACAAGGTGGTGTGGATATTTGATAGGCTGCCATATATCCTATCATATGCGTCTGAAGGTTTTTCTTTTGGCTCTATGTCTTGACAAAGGGTCCTTCAAACTAGGGAAAACAATCTCTACTCAACTTGCACACTTGAAGTTAAACATATTGACTAACCTTGCACCTAATTTGATATGCCTCTTCAACATTTCCTGGATCATACTAGTGTTGGGAGAGCTATAAAAGAAAAATTTTGTGGAGTTGTACATATATGTTCGTGACCTTAAGGGAAAGGTTGTAGAACTTGATGGCTTTAAATCAATTAAATCCAAGGAGGCTCATGCTATTAACTTGTTAACATCTTTGCTTTGATAAGATCTAGAATATGTTAAAGAAGTTTACACTTTAACCAAGTTGGAGATAGTTTTTATGACTAGGCTAACACCAATTGCACTGACGGAACACTAGCATCATGAAATAATCTAGAGTTTCAACATAAAAAGGTTAATTGGGTATGTAAATGGAATGGTTATCTCTTTTATCCTTGGTTAAGTTATATGAGGGAGTTGTAAATTGAGGAGGAGCTTATTAGTGCGTTAATTGATATAATCATACAAAATGAGTTGATATCATATATGAAGACTTTCTTTGCTTATTTGGATGACCAAGAAAAATGTAAAGTAGTTCACATGACAAGTACTCATCTTTAACATTATGAATTTATTGTTAAGAGAAAAGAAAATGAGAAAAACTATTGAGGAAAAAAATAAAAAAGTAAAAATGATATCATTTTAACACTTTGAATATAAAGTTAATAGAAATTTTAGTTTTAGAAAAGTTAAATAAAAGTCAAATCTCAAACTAATCTAGGAATATAATGTAGGTATACATTAAATGCTTATATATGTGTCTTGAGTTTAAATTTTATGAATAAAAGTTTGACATTATTATTTATAAAACTTTAATAAATATACAAAGATGACAAATGTATCATCCTCTTTTCTCATTGCCTTTAATTATAAGTTTTGAATGGAAATTAAAATATTGTATAAATGTGGATATCATCAATTAAATTCTTTAAAAGTATGAGTAAAATGAGAATTAAACTTTTAAGTATGATGATTAAAAAAAATCTAAAACAAGTTCACTTAGTTACTCTTTTATCAATTATCTTTCGGTAAGGCAAGAAATGTGTTATTTTAGAAAAATGGTCAACCACAACAAAATTATCTTAAATCTTTAAAAAAGTAAAAGATTAATAAGAAAATCTATAGATATAAATTTCAAAATCTTGAAGCAATAGGAATTAATTAAAGAAGACAAAATAAAGTAATTAAAAAAACTAGATGAAGAATTAAAGAATTTTGATCTACTAAAATGTATTACATGAATGTATTTGAAACTACTAAAATAGTTAATCTAAGTGTTTTGCTAAGGCTAGGATTTTTATGATAAACTTTGATAACATTCGATTACACTTCACTATATAGTACATATAGTGAGTATATCTTTACTCCAAAACTAAATAAATCAATAATTACAATGTTGAATTGAAGTAATACATAAAGAAATGGATTCACAAATTTATTGAGTAATTTGATCAATGGTATAAATTATTCAATTAATAACTTGAGAGAGTGATAAAAAATTTGATGTACTTCAAAACCTAGAAAACCCTTTAAAAAATAGAAAACTAAATAAAAAGGGTATTTGATGATAAGCTGTATAAAAAATTTGGAGAAATATCGAATAAAATTTTAATAGAAATTCATAATGCAAAATAAATACCAGATATTATTGGTAGATACATAACCTAAAAACTATTAAAAAAATATTTTTTAATTTTGCAAAAGGATTATGTTTTTAAAGTTTTTATAAAACAAGATAAACATGACAATTATGCTCTCTTAAATCTCAATATGTAACATGAAAGGAAAACCTTTCCAATTAAAGAATGTAATTAACTTAAAATTTAAAAAAGCTTTAGACTTGTCCTACAGGGATGAACTTTCCAGCAAAACATCTTTTTACTATTTAGATATTTTGCTTCAGTTGTTCAGAAATTTGCTGCATAAACTTGTCCCAACTTATCTTGCATAATCTTCCGCTTTGGAATGTTCCAGTTGATCCATCTCAAATAAGATGGGACAAACTCACTAATATGAAAGTTGAGCATCATATGTAGGTGAATGCTCTTTCTTGCAGATAAACCACTTGCAGTGTTAAAACCATACGTAATCACATTGTTTCCAGCAGTGCCAAGCAGAAAAACAACCGTTCAAACATCAACCTGACGCCATCAAAGCCTGTGAATCAATTCAGAGTTTCATGAGATTTAATCTCGTTTTTTCCTGCACGAATGGCATTTTGTGCAGCGATTAAAAAGTCTTCCACTAGACTGGGAGTTTCCGGAGAGGTCGGTTTCTTGGAAGTAGAACTTTTCCAGAAGCCTGCTTGCTGGTGGATGAAATTGGAGCTCTTTGGTGAGGCTGGTAAGCTTCGCAAAGAGAAAATCCATCAAAAAGAAAAGAAAAAAGATGAGAAGGGAGGTAAAACTTACATGTGTGAGAAACAACATGCCAGATTTGAAGGAGTCATGCACCTGACAATGGGTTTCCTCGACTTGTTCCTCAGACCATATCCCGGGCTGCTTGGATATCTACACGAGCCAGAAATCAAAATGTCATCATTCCAGTAGAAAACAGACAAGAAAGAAAGAAAACAAATCCACGTACCCCAATCCAGAGGTAGAGACTGCAGTAGCTTCGGCAATGAGCAATCCCCCTCGAGTTGTTCTCTGTGCAGAGTACACCGCAGCTTGCGGCTGTGGCAGGTAATTATACGATCGACATCTTGTAAGTGGCACGACTCTGAAAAAAAAGCGAAGAAAAGAGTTCGAATGAACCAATGAAAAGAATATGGTGCTTTGTACCTGTGATTGAGATGGATATCGCCCAGCTGAGAGGATCTGTGAAGACGATTGAATCCACACAAATTTCAAGGGCATTGCACAGCAATTTATAGCCTTCGGCATGAAGATTGTAGATAAAAGCAAAATCTGCAAGTGATCGTTTAGAAACTTCCGAGGCCCCGTTATTTGACTTTGGATTCTGAAAAATAGGTCCGCAATGTGGACAACTTCTAAAGATGTTCTTCCTGGCAATCAAGATGAAGAACATAATAACTTAGCTATTAGGAAGCTCAACATTGTCTAAGAGACGAACACTACCAAACCACGCAGCAATTGCAAACACTGATGGGCTCGCCACTTTATCGACACTCTGCAGTGTTTCTTGGTCGACAATCTAAACACAAAAGCGTTAGAGAACTAAGTAGCCGAGCAAATAAATCTTACGCTTGCATAATCCACTCTTCCACCGGCATGGCTGATGGCACTCACTGCCTGTTCTATGAGAACACTGTAATCCGTCTCGCCGGATCTCACGAGCTCCTCAGCCCTCTTGAGCGAATGAAAGATCGCCAAAGCCTGAGCCAAAGAAAGAGACTGGAACTTAGGAGACAAAGAACTAGAAACGAAACAAATGTAGGACTTACATTTTTTCTTTCGGTGGCAGTGAGTCTCACATTCCGGGAGCTCATTGCAAGGCCATCGGCTTCTCTTACGAGCTTGCAGCCGACCACCTCCACTCCAAAGTCTAAATCCCTCACCTAAGCTAAGGTAAGAGATTCGTCAGCCTGTTTGAATCGAAAAGACCAAGAAAGAAAGAAAGAAATGGAAGAGAAGAAAACGATGGAGCTTACCATGCGAGACAAGACTCGCCATTGCTGGTAATCCTTCTTGCCAAACACGACCACGTCCGGCTCCACAATGTTGAGAAGCTTTGACACCACGGTAGCAACACCCCTGAAGAACAATGGACGGCTTCCACCGCAAAGAGGCTTTTCCAAGTTTTCCACCCGGATCCAAGTCTCGTGGCCGGCGCCATTCTTCTCGGGTGAGTCTCGGACATACAAGTCGCGTGGATTGAAAATGATGTCCACGCCAAGTGGCTGCTCCAAAAAGAAAAGGAAAAGAAAATGCGAGAGAGAAGCGATAATTCTTGAGACGGACCTTGAGCTTCTCGACATCGCCATCGAAATCGCGGGGATACACATCCAGATCTTCCCCGGGAGCGAATTGCCCGGGATTCACATAAATCGACACCACCACTTTCTCCGCTCGCTGCTTCGCCTCGGACACCAGCGACAGATGACCTTCGTGTAGGAATCCCATCGTCGGCACCAGCGCGATCCGGCTACCGCATTGGCGCTGGGACCTCGACCAGTGCCGCATCGCCCCCTTCTCCCCCACGATCGCCATAAGAACCCTAATTCTTAAACCCTGAGCTCTCAAGAACCCTAATCCTTAAACCCTGAGCTCTCGTTTTAAAAAACTAGCTCGTTGGAAGAATGCTGGAAAGAAGAACGCATGGCGCTCCAGAGTTTGTGGAGCTCCCAATTTCCATCGCCCTGGGCATTGCTCTTGTGGCTGCCTTGATCTCCTTGTGGATCTTACAGCCCCCAAGGAATGCCCCCCACGCCGTCTTGTCTGGCTCGAATGGCATGCTCGCTAGCAAATCCTCGGCATCCTGGAGCTCTCCAGATCGCCCCAGGACGTCCACCAGGCAGCAGTAGTGCTCCCTCTGGGGCGAGACACCGAAATCTCTCATGAGAAGGAAGAATGCCAGCCCCAATTCGACGAGGCCAATGTGGTTGCAAGCCACCAGCGCATTCGTGAAGGTGATCTCGTCTGGATCAAACCCCTCAAGCACCATCATCCGGAAGAGGGCGAGCGCTTGGAACCCATCTCCAAACGCCGAGAATGCCTGGACGATCGAGTTCCATGCGACCACATTGTGCTTGGGCATCCGATTGAATAGCTTGATCGCGAGATCCAGACGCATGCTCGATGCAAAGATGTAGATCATGCTCGTCCACGACACGACGCTCCTCTCAGGCATCTCGCAAAAGAGGGCGATCGCTCTCTCCAGCTCTAGATTCTGGGCATATGCCGCAGCCATGGCATTCCAGGTGACCAAGCTGCGGTTCTCGTCGGCCGTGGCATCAAACACCAGCCTTGTGCCTTGGATATGCCCGGCATGGGAATATGCTGTCATGAGGCTCGTGCACGCCACGGCATCGTGCTCGGGCATGTTGTCGAAGAGATTCTTGGCATATTCAAGGCTTCGGCTTTGGGTGTATGCTGCGATCATGGCATTTACCGCCAGAATGTTCCACCCCGGCATGGAATCAAACACATCCTTGGCCCGGTAAATATGCCCGGAGCGGGAATATGCGGCAATCATGACGCTGCAAGATGCCGTGTCTCTAAACGGCAGGACCTCAAATAAAAAATCCGCGGTATATACGTCTCCAGCTTCGCTGTAGGCTTGGATGAGCGCATTGCACGAGACCATGTCGTACTCGGGCATCCCGGCAAAGACCCTGTGCGACTCTTCCACGTAGCCGTTCTCCGAATATGCCGTGAGCATTGTTGTGTGGGAAATAATATTCCGCTCGGGCATTTTCAGAAAGAGGTTGAGTGTACGATCCAGATGCCCGATTTCGGCATATGCTCGCATCATGACATTCCAGGAAACCACATTGCGAGACGGCATAGAATCAAACACATGTTTTGCCATTTCAACAAACCCTAAATCCGCGTAGACTTGTAGCATAGCTGTGTAGGCAACCACGTCGTGGCACGGCATGGAGTCAAAAACTTGCTTTGCTCCCTCAAGATGCCCTCGTTGGGAATATGCCTGCATGAGAGCGGTTGACGAGATGGAATCTTTTGCGGGCATGGAATCAAAGATGTGCTTTGCGTCATCAAGCAACCCAGACCGCACGTACAGGCTGATCATAGTCGTCCACGTCACTGCATTTGTTTCTGGTATAGAGACAAAAAATAGCTTTGCCTCCTCAAGATGCCCGGTTTTGGCATATGCCTGGAGCATCGTCGTCCACGACACAACGTTTGGCTCGGGTGCTCGATCAAACATCGCCTTAGCCTCCTCAAGATGCCCATTGTGAGCATACGCGGCAATGATAATGTTCCACGAGAATACATTGGGGGATTCCAGAGAATCAAACACGGAACGCGCATCGCACGGGCTCTGGCATTTGCCGTACATCTCGATAACCAAGTTGGCGATGTAGGTTTTTGTAATCTCTCCATTTTGCGCCAGCCGGTCGTGGATGCGTCTTGCATGCGCGAGATCTTTGCTTCTCCCACAGGCCCGGAGGAGTGTCGCAAAGTAGTCTGTGTAGATGGAGTGATTTGGATCTTGTTGGCTGCATTGCATCTCTATGTCACGAGATTAAATTGGGAGTTTATTAGTGAGTAATGCAAGAACTCCAGCTCGAATTCGCATCTCGTCTACGAAATGCCAGAACCCCAGTTCAAGCCAGGGAAGTTCACAGAGAACTTGAGACCAGTCCTGTACGAGGTGACACATTCCTTGCGAATCTAACAGTCCAAATGTACGGCCGTGTCAGATGCCTCGAAGATGCTTGCCAGACATTCCACGGTATCGAGCATCCAAACCTCTTCTCGTGGAATATCATGGCTTCGGCATATGCCGTAAATGGGCATCCTGAAGAATCTTTACAGATCCTCTTGAGCATGCCAGAGAAGAATCTTGTGTCCTGGAATACAATTCTAGCTGCGCTACTGAAGCTCAATAAACTCGATCAAGTGAAGTCTGTCTTTGATCAAATGTTTGAGTTGGACACTGTCTCATGGACTTGCCTTGTTCAGGCATTTGCCAAACGAGGGGATTTTGATGAAGCCAAGCGCGCGTTCGATTCCATGCCCGAGAAGAACCTGGTGACGTGGAATGCCATGCTGGCGGCTTACGTCTCGCGTGGTCACATCGACGCCGTGGATCTGCTGGGGATGCCGGGTTGGAATCGCCAGACCTGGACGCTTCTCCTCAATGGCCGTCTGGACGAGGGGAATCTGGGCGAATGCCAGCACCTCTTTCAGTCGATGCCCGAGCACGACATCGTTTCATGCACGGCGATTCTCCGGGTTTTCGCCCAGCTGGGCGATCCAGGCCGAGCGAAATCGCTGTTTGATTCGATCCCCCAGACGGATCTTCTCGCGTGGACGGCTTTGCTTCAGGCATACGCTCAAAACGGGCAACCCGAGCGCGCCAGTAAGATCTTCTCGTCGATGCCCGAGTGGAGCGTCGTGTCATTCAATGCGATGCTCATAGCGCTTGGGACGAGCGGAAGTCTCGCAAAGGCGGAGGGGTTCTTTGATCGGATGCCCGAGAGAGATCACGCGTCCTGGACAACAATGATCCAGACGCTCGCCCGCGCCGGGCAATTTCGATCCGCGAGAGATCTCTTCTATCGAATGCCCGAGTGGGATTCTAGATCCTGGGACGCGCTTCTCCAGGCGCTCTTCTTGGCGGGAGATGCCAAACAGGCGAGGGTAGCATTTGACTCTTTGGGAGCAAAAGATACCTCGACGTGGAACGCGATGCTAACCGAATATGCCCAGGCCGGGCACCTGGAAGATGCCAAGCATCTCTTTGACACGATGCCAGAGCACAGCACCGTGTCGTGGAATCTCCTCATCCTTGCCTGCCACCGGGGCGGCCACGTGGAAAGCGCGCGGAGTCTGTTCCAGAAGCAACCGGACAAAGACGTAGTGACGTGGACGACCATGGTCGCGATGAATGCCGAGCTGGGGGACGCGCAAGAGGCGGCAGCGCTCTTCCGGCAAATGCCGCAGCGGAATATCCTCTCCTGGAACGCACTGCTGGCGGCATTTGCGTCGCTGGATTGGCATCTCGCGAAGATGCTGTTTGATGCCATGCCTGAGGTGGACGTGGTGTCGTGGACAACGCTGGTCCACGCGTTCGTGTTATCTGGGAAGATTGTTAATGCCACGCGGACGTTTGGGAGGATACCGCCGGGCCAGAAGAACTTGGTGACGTGGAATGCCATCGTGGCCGGGCACGCCCGGTTTGGGTCCAGCCGGGAGAGTTTTAAAATGCGGATGGAGGGAATCGAGCCCGACCAGAGCTCTTTCGTGAGTAGCCTCATTGCGTGCAACCATTTGGGGCTGCTAGCGGCGGCTAGGGATAGCTTCGTGTCGATGCGCGGGGATTATGGCTTGGCGCCGCGGAAGGAGCAACTCTGCCTCATGATCGATGCGCTCTCCCGAGCCGGAGAATCGGAGGAGGCGCGAGAGCTCCTCCAGATCGTGGTTGGGCAAGGGTTGAGCAAGAAATTCTATAGAGGTCCTCTTCTTTCTTGCAGGTGATATAAGTCTGACGCAGTACTTTCATATTCTTTTGCGATCTTCTCTAGATATCATATCACAACGATTTTTTCAAGCTACATATCCTGAGGTAAAGGTTTTCTATTCTTTTGTAGGTAGAGTCCTAGATCTATCACAAGGATTTTCTCGAGCTACATATCCTCCATTGCGTTTGAGCGTAAACTTTTCTATTTCTTTGTAGGTGGAAATCTAACTGTGAGTAACCACTTTCATATTCTTTTGCGATCTTCACTAGATATCACAAGGAGTTTCTCGTTGAGGTCAGTTTGCGTAACCTTTTCTATTTCTTTTGTAGGTGGAAACCATTGTTCTAACTACGAGCAAATGGCTGTGAGCAGGACATGAGCCAGCATCACATCAACGAAGTAAAAATGGCCAACTCTGTCAAACCAAGGTGCCAGCGCAGGCTTTATGCCATAGTGTCCACCATCGCTACAGCAGAAATCGTAGTGCCACGGGAAGGTCATGTCGTAGTCGTCTACAAACATCAGCTGGTTCTCCAGGCTATGCAGCTGCTTTTGGAACTCGTTGCTCAGTATGGAGTTGAAGACTTCTATCTTCTGGGGATTGGAGGGGTCACTTCTTTTGATTGCGGCGAGGGTGATCGTGTTGCGGATCACGACACGAGTGCTGCTCTTGTTTTCCAGCAGTGACCTCCAGAAAGCCGAAGCAGTCTGAACTGCTGCGGCAAAGTGATGAACCTTTTTCCATGCGTGCCCGTCGTGGATGCCCGAGTTTATGATCACTGCGTCCGGAGCTCGACCACGAAAGAATTCGTTCTTGACCAGATCACGATATGCCGGTACGTAGAGCGAGCCTAGACCCATTAAGTTTTGGTTTGGATCTGCATGTCCGTTGAAGATCGATACTAAGCTGAAATTCTGTGCAGGATTGGATGGATTGGTGACGTTGGCCACGAAGATCCGTTCTATGTATTCCTGGTTCAGACCAAGAACAAAGTTCATGAGGTTCCGGATTGTGTCTTGGTGGTTTGAGTCGCCCCAGAAGAAGAGCTTCTTCCCGTCCAAGCACTTCCATGCATCGGCTGCGTTCCAGATGCGGAACTTACAGTGTGCTGAATACACCCATCCGTTGCTCTCCAAGCTCTCAAGGTTGCCAATGCATTGGCTGTCATCGCACTCCTCATGTTCTCCCAAGCAACGGTAACGTCCTTCCTTGTCGAGCTGACAGGACTCGTTGAATTTTGTTCTAGTCCATTTGCCTGACCATGTTGTTGCTGACATGAAGTCGTGGCTGGTGCAGGTTGCAAGATGAGGATTTCTTTTCCGGCTGGTAGTAAAACGGATTTGGACGGTTAGCATCTCTTTCGTCAGGGCCCATGGATCCGGCTGATGCTCCAGTCCACGAAAGTTGGAGTATAGAAGGATAACCTTGAAGGTGTAGTTTCCAGCGAATTCCTCGTCCACTTTCAGCTCGACGAGGTAAGAGCCATCTCCGACATCTGTGATTGGTGGCCTTGATTTCCATTGAGGACCTACAGATGATAGAAAATTCGTGAGGACAAAAACTTTCAGAACAAACTTAACTGGAGAGATCCGTCTCGTAGAAGTCTCCTCCAAAGCATCTCCTGTTTCCGCTAGCAGCATATGAGACGATCCAAATCTTGTGAAGAACATCAGTGGACAAGGTAATTTCGCCTCCATTCTCTGCTCTAGGGAGCCCAAAGAAGAGAGCAGCGGTAGTACTTACGTTGTGACATTCCTGTTTGCCGTACTCAGAGAAACGCTTGAAGAAGATGCTTGTAGACTCGTTGAAAGACGAACGCTTGTTTGAGTTGGGGGACGACATCGAAGGTACTCTGTCTTTGAATTCGAACAGCAAATCAGAGTAGTAACTTAATGGTGTGCATAAATGCAGTGCTAGCAACAAGAAAGCACCCAGAGAAATCAAAATAATTCCGTTCATAGTGGAGTTCATATGCCTCAAAGGCGATTCATTGAAGCAGCTACCAAAGTGACCGGCCGTTAAGCCAAACATTCTCTCCAACCTTTGTACTGTAAGTTTTGCATGCGTGCTTTGAAATTAGCTTGAGCATTTATATGGATTTGGTGTATCTGACGTTAAAAGAATGAAATCCTAGCTTCCTAGAGGAGCTGGCAGTCGAGATGACATTGGAGGTAACATTTTGTTGAAACTCACTTATGATCAGTCTTAACTTTTGTTTTGCCAGGGCTAAGAGCAAATGGTGGTAAGAAGCACATGAATGAGCATCAAATCAACAAAGTAATAGTGGCCAATCGTGCCAAACCATGGTGACAACGAAGGCGCAACTCCATAGTGCCCCCCATCGCTGCAGCAGTGATCATAGTGCCAAGGAAAAGTCATGTCATAGTTATCCACAAACATGACCAGGTTCTCCAGAGCTCGGAACTGTCGCTGGAACTCGTCACTCAAGATCGAGTTGAAAGCTTCCATTTTTTGAGGATTGGAGGGATTAGCTCTTATACTTCCAGCCACGGCGACCGTGTTACGGAAGACCACGCGTGCTTTGTTGCTCTCCCGCAACAGTGACTTCCAGAACAGTGCAGCGGTCTTGGCCGCTGTGGCAAACTCCCGGGGATTTTTCCAAGCGTGTCCATCATGGAGGCCCGAGTTAAGTATCACCGCGTCCGGCACTCCTCCTTGAAAAAACTCCTTCTTGACAAGCTCAAGGTAAGCCGGTTCATCTAGTGACCTCAGTCCTAGGAAAACTTTTCCTGGATCAGGAGCACCGTTGTAAATCTGAAAAACTCGTAGCTTTTGTGCAGGATTTGCCGGGTTTGTGACGTTGATGATGATGGAGCGCTGCTCGATGGTTTCATTCATGCCAAGAACAAGGTTGAGGAGGTTTCGAATGGTGTCTCTGTGGTTAGAGTCACCCCAGAAGAAGAGCTTCTTCCCGTCCAGGCACTTCCACGCCTCGGTTGTGCTCCATATCCGGAACTTACAGTGCGCAGAGTACACCCATCCGTTGCTCTCCAGGCGCTCGAGAGCTCCACTGCACTGGCTCTCGTCGCACTGCTCGTCGTCTCTTAGGCAAAGGTAACGTCCATCCTCGTCGAGCGCGCAAGACTCGTCGAACTTTGTTCGGGTCCACTTGCCTAACCACGGTTTTTTCGAGGTGAAGTCGCTGCTGGTGCATAGTGGAAGAGTAGTCCTTGTGCTGCCACCAGTAGAAGAAGTGAAGTGGATTTGGAGGCGGAACACTTCCTTGTCCACAGCCCATTCGGTTGCGGAGTGATCCATCCCGTGGAAGTTGGAGTACAAGAGAATGGCCCTCAGCGTGTAGATGCCCGTGAATTCTCCGTCGACTTTGAGCTCCACGAGGTAAGAGCCATCTCCAAGGTCTGTTACTGATGGCCGTGACTTCCATTGGTGACCTGCAGTTGAAAGGATCTTTCCAACAACGCTCGAAAAGAACACACTCTTTTACTTACCCGAGAGATCAATCTCGTAGAAATCTCCTCCATGGCATCTCCTGCTTCCGTCTGCTGCGTACGAGACTATCCAAAACTTGTGGGAGACTTCCGTGGACAAGGTAATCATCTCCTCCTCGTTTCCTTCCATGGGAAGGCCGAAGAAGTAAGCGGCTTCCGTGCTGATATTGTGGCATGGTCTAGTTCCATTCTCAGACACACGCTGGAGGATCACTTGCGCGTCCCGTGAACTGGCTGGAGGAGCTCTTGCCTTGGGTGAAAGAAGGCGGCGAAGTAGATCGAAGTGGAAGCTCTCTGGCGCGGTGGACTGAAGTGCCACGAGGAGTAAGAGACTCAGCTTCGGCTGCCTCTTTCCTTGGTCATCTTGGCCCGTTTTTCTGGGTCGTTCTCTGCCCCCTTTTTCTTTTT